TGCATTTAGGTTTGCATCAAAAGTGACTGGTCGTGAGGACTTAAATTGTGCGGATGTTGGTTTTCTCTTGTCTATGAGCAGCTGCGTCGTGAACCCATGCATTTTAATGTTGCATGTTCATCTTAAAATCAACTGTTGAAATGAGGACATAGTACGCAAAATAATAACTACCGATGTATATAGTGAGATTTCGAGGCATGGTGTACAATACCTAAACAACCGCGATCACCTACCTTAAATATTCTGCGATCTTTGTATAAAATTTTGAAGTACTCAGTCGCATTTTGATCGAATGGCGAAAGGGCCAGGTATCCTTCAGCTTCTTTTTTTCTTTCCATTCCACGCAAACCAGACTTTATTGTCTTCACAATCGCAAACGTCCACCAGTTATGCTTTTTCGATTGAGTCTATGAAATTTGCTTCTTGTACATGATTTCTGAATAGTTTGTACCGTTTGGACGCACCTCAAAACTGATAATTACCCCTCTAAACATGAATGTGTAATCTTACGTAGTGGGTAGAAAATGATCCTTTAAATCCGTGACAACAGCAACTTTTTTGATGTTTCCCGCGTCCANCCAATATTCACGACCAATCTTCCCTCCTCGATGGACAAAGATAAAAAACAACACTCAATTTCAATCCAAGTATCCAGGTATATACTTCTCCACAAAGCTTTAGGTAACCTAAAGTTGCAAAAAAAGAATAAGGAATCATCGTGTGTACAACTCCTCCTCCATCAGTGCGTCTAACCTGCAGAAGTCTGACTTCTCCGGTAGCCCTGAAGTATATATATATATTTACCACCGGCCCTGAAGTGCAGCTAGCTTATGCCTTGATTGAGATGAACGACGAAATGAGCCGCTCAGCGGTAATGCCTTATGAAACTCGTGGCACACACAATGTTAGCNAGTGCCCTGCACGGTGCGATCAGTTAGACATGGTCGCTCACGACGTCGTATTTTCTTTACTACGACTGTCTTCTCGTCGAACGTAATCCACTAATTTCACGTTCGATAAAGCGCCATCACATAACACGGTTTATGCTGCTAATCAGGTCGTCTCTATTTGTCTGTAGGTTGTGGAGGCTATCAACAGGCGATTATTAATGCGTTTGATGTTCCAAAAATATGCCCAAAGGTGAGAGCAGAAATTATAAACCAGTGATTTTTACGGCGCTGGACACATGCCCGTAAGTGACCTTGACAATTCGACTTGATGCTTCCGCAAATGGTGCAAACTGAAAGTCTAGTTTATTCAACAGTTTTTAAGTATCCGCCGATGCGTTTCTAGACCTTTTTAGCAGGACACAAAATTATGATAAAAATGCACGCCCCACTTAATATTTATCCTACTCTTCCAAGACCCAATGAACAATGCCAATATGGGTTCAAAAACTTGGGTTGTTTGTTTCCACGGCTGTTTGGTAGATCTATGCCATACTCGGCATATGACGGCGACGTTCTTTCTCTACTTGCTTCTCGCGTTGCGCACAACACTGGGTTTGTATTGTGCTACACGTTCCTTACGAAATCCTCAGTATGGTCGGGGTGGAGTTTCTAGGGTTGCGGCTGGTCACCCGTTCCCTTGCAACTTGCGAAATGCCCCCATACGACCAAGAATCTCAAATAGCCCCTGCTGAGGAAGTCCTATTCACTGCCTTCTTGTGGCGCAGGTGTTTTTCCACCGAAGTGAGAAGGCCAAGAGCCGACATCTGGGTTGGTGGACCACTGGTAGTTCACCTAGAAGAGTTGGCCAAAAACCCCGATTCCAAGCAAACCAAGAGGCGTACGAACCACACCCACACCTTTTCGATTGTGGCAGTGGTCGCGGGTTCAGTTGGGAATCGAGGTGTATTGGGCACCTTGGACGTTCGAACCCGTCCCAAGGGCGTATGATCCGATCGCAGTTTTCACACCGCCCCGCTGCCTAGCGGGTCAGGCTTTGGCAAACCGCAGGCACCGATTGTAGATTTCTCAAGATAATTCACCTGCCCTGACCTGGGCAACCTGGCACTACTGAGCTCACAAGCCAATCACTGAACCTTCTTTCTTCTTCTGTATGAAAATTACTGTACCATGATTTGTTTGGCACATGGTCTGACCTTAGACGAGTGTGAAAATATAATATACACGCGATTCTCCCCTCAAAACCACTTATTAAACGAAGCGCAGGTGCACTCCGGATTCGAATTCTGCAGTCATGGAATAGACACACCATCGGTCTCCGCTTGGCTGTATGATGGTCAAACGGTCGCAGTTAACGACGGGCTGTAGACCCTATGAACCGAATTTCGAACCCCATCACGGTCACTCAACGTTGACCTTAAGAAGCTGCCATGTGGTTCAATACCTTATTTGACGTAGCGGTCGTCCCGAGGGTCATGTTGCTGACTTCCTTTAGTGAACAGCAAGTCAACGCGACTGGGTTTGTCCCGTCTTCTTCTCATCAGAAATGTGTAATAAAAAGGATCTCATCATCCAACTTTCAGTCTTTTGTCTATCGTTGGGTATTCTGCTTCCTCATTCCTCTTATATAGCCATCACTAAAGTTTAATCATCGGTAACTATATTCTCTGGCTGATCCCGACACTGAGTAATCCAGACATTCAATCACTGCTTCTAGGTCACCCACGAATGACTTCCAGCACATCTTCAGTTTCTGAATAAACAAATTTTGGATCTAAAACTCCTACCTCTTATTTGGTTCCTTTCCCTCCTGCCTACAACCTTCGCCGCTTTGCAAATCGGAGCAAAACAACGTATCTTTCTTTGAGCTAAAGTACCTATCCATACAGT